TTCCGAAAACGGTAGTGGATTATAAAAAATTCGACGTGGTACCGCCTTTTCCGGTTACCGGAGATCTGGGCTATAATATTTTATTCACTGGAAATTCGCTTGCGACCGTTTACGAACACGTTGACAGTTTTATGGCCTTTAAACGGAATTCCTATAGCGGTTCGGCCGTAGACCAAACGTTGCGCGAAGTGATGGAGAGGTGTGTATTTTGTAAGAGTTACGCCGAGGCATTTGTTCGGTTCATGAACGTGGTCGAAAGCGAAGGTATTTCTATGTTGAATAGATTGTGTCGCGCATCGAACAAACTATTAAGACAGATGTCGTGGGATGCGGTTAAAGTACTCTTCGACAGGATCGATCCTGTGGTACAACTTATTTACAACATGTTTAAAATGAATTTAATATCGACTGAGCCGGTGCGGCAAATAGAAGTCGCCATCGCCGTAGTGAAGACGGACATGAAAGGACGAAAACAGTTCTTCGCCAGTACATGCATGGAGTTTGGTGAACGATATGGTAACATGATGGACTTGGTTCGTACTGGCGAATACAAGAACGTAGAACGTATAATGTCTAGCTACATGGTCGACATAGAACTGCAATACATCTTAGATGTTGCACACTTTTACTTTAAAAAAGAAACGGACGCTGGACCAAGCGGTGGCGGTGATGAATCCAATGTACTACCACAACAGCTCCAAAGTGAGGATAACATTGTCTATGATAACGTTGTATAATGTTTACGGGTAGCATCAGTTTAGGTTAAAATCAACACGCACATTTTTCAACTAAAGACTTGAAAATTTATAAAATTCAAGCTTGCGTACATATGTATATATTAGTAGTTGTAAAGGTATATTGACCTCGAAATGTTTACCAACAATTTTGTTATGTGTTATCTTTTAAGAGTAATCTACGCTATATAAATGTATGTGCTATTTAAAAAAATTACATAATTTCCTTATAATATTTGTATAATTATTTTATAATTTTTCGCTCAAAATGGTTTTATCAGTTAACAAGGTGCAATTTTCCTTTTTTTTTTTTTGTTGGTTCTCCTTAATGACTTCATCATTGACTACAGAATTTAAAAAAAAAACTTTTTTTAAAACATACTTTTCTAAAAAATAGTAAAATATAAAAAAGCCAGTACGGTGGGGACGGAGAGGTCACAGGTCTAAGAAAATGTACTGTCATAGTTACCCATATATCGTAATTAACATAGAACGTTGTCACTTATCTTCAATCATTTTTTATCTGGTTATCTATGTTATAAAATAGTAAACAATTTGAAAAACGTTTTAATATGGCACATAACATTGAATGTGTGATTTGTGATTAACGAAGCACAAAAAGACCATTATTATGGAACACGGCGGACGAGAATTATAAGGATAAAACCAGAAAAAATACAGCATGGAACGAGATTGCTATAAGTTGTATAGGCAACTTAAACGAAAAAAAATGAATCTCAACAATAAGTAATTTGAAAGTAAAATAAAGAAAAAAATTGTATCCCTTCTAGGGAAAAGGGTTTATGATCTTTTTTTAGTTTGTTTATGTTTATCGATAGTACTATATTTGAAGAACAATTCGTATAAATTTGGGACTTTTTAGACTATTTTTAAAAAAGTTATAGAGCATCGTAATTTTAAGCTGAAAAATTTATAATATTTTTGGGTGTTTTTTCTCGATTTTGATTGGGAAGGGGTGACTTTTTTTATTTTTTGGCCTATTAAAGTACCTTTCAGGTATGATTTCTGATCTATAGAGTTGCCACACAAAAACGCTTTTTCACTTATAATTAAATAAAATTTAAATTATACACAAGAAGTCTAAATTCGCCAAAACCGTCCAGTTAATAGTTGACCAGATTTTAATTTATTTTTAAACAATAAAACCATTTTGCTTAGGTATGTATTTAATAAAACCTTATGAACCTTATGAGCTTTCTAAATTATAATATATACTTTTTTTAAATTAGAAATAATATGCTGAAAATGTTGACTGGTCGATAACCAGTTTTGGATAGTTACTTTTAAAATGATTTAAGTTTAAATTTAAGGATGAGGGAAAAGGTAGAAGTATTATTTTTACTTTTGCGCATTCCTCCCGTGGTCCTAAATTTTAGGCTTAAATAACTTAAAAAATAGCTATCGACAAGATGGTTAGGTATCGACCAGTCAAAATTATCATAAAATTGTACTTGATTTAAAAAACCAAATTAAATGTATACATTACCGTGGAGGTTTTAAAAGTTAACCCCCTTAATGTTGGTTCTGACTGAAAAAAAAATTTAATAAGAAATACAATTTTTTTTTCATATTGTATATCATTATTAATTTTCATATTTCAATTGTTTTAATACAATGTGGTCTTTGAAAGCATCTTAAAGTAATTTTAAAAAAAAAATTTAAGTAATTTTTTCCGTACAGATTTTAATGTTCAGATATTTATACCTAATTATACCTAATATTATATACCTAATTGAATACTTATGATTTTAAAACATATATTAGTAATATTAGTTTATAATAAATCAGCAGGGCTCCGAAATTATATGTTTATATTAAATAAAAACTTAAGTCATACTCCCACTACAATCGAAATTCGAATTAGATTATAGATAAAAAAATGTATTTAAAACAATGATTTTTTTTAAAAAGAGGGTTTAAACAGCGTCCGTTCTATATACTTGGCCAGTCAACAGTCTAATAACGGCCGGTTATACTTTTTGGCCATACTTGATTTTGTCGATTTACCGTACCGTTATTTCAAGAAAGTCTTAGATGTCGTTTTTGTGCTTATATATTTTTATAGTTTTGTCTAACCGACAACAGATTCTGCCTTTTTACATTATACTTAAGACCTGCGTTATATTAAACAACATTTTAACCCTATAACAAATATATATGTCAACCATTGATTATTCTGAGGATGTCCCCTGTGGGTGTAGGTTGTCCAAGAGCAAACCTGAATTTCAGTCATTTGGACATACTATAAATTCCATAACCAATGGTTGTCCTAAGTACAACCCTTTATATGCCTAGGTACTTTACTTGTGGTTTACCACTGTACATCAACATCATGACGATAGGACACCAAACATTAGTGCCCCACAAGTGAGGGGATCAGAGACTGTTTAATTAAACTATTTTAGTATAATAGAAAACATTGTTGAATTAATAAGAAGTGAAAAATATAAAATTTAATTACTATAAATACATTTAAATTACACTTAAAATTACTATTGTACATTCAAAAAATAAGAAATGAAACAAAAAATAAATTACCAGTATCTAATTTTTATAGCACTTTAATTGTTTTGTGTAGAATGGTACGGCGGTTTAAACCTATAATTCTAATTTAAATCATTCGCAGTATAATTAATTTATAAAAAATGAAAATATAATATATTATTCATCGTTAGTATTCTTAATCTGACTATGTTTAATAATAACATCATAGCCTTGTTCTTAATTTGTTCCAAAGGAATCGATAAAAAAATCATTTGAAAAATCACTACATAAAAATGTTCCTATATATTATTATACACCTATTAAAATTGTATTTATTCAATATGTGTTTTAAGCAAATTTAACACTGGAAATCATTATTATTTTTCTAGTCATAACAATTCCCGTATACCAGCGACCAACGCATCGTCCATTGTCTATGCTTTGCCACTCTGCGATAATTCATACAGAGTGTACCAAAAAAATGTAAATTATAATGCACAAATAATGTTTATACTATGTTCAAAATAACTAAACATTACGCATAATATGTAATATGTAACAGTATATAATATATATTTAAGGGGAACAAAAAGCGCTATTTATTAAGGGGCAAAGGATAGGCAATATTTGACGAAAATTGATCTAGTAGGCATTTTTAATATGCCGGCTAATTTTAATGGAAAAAATATAAAGTTTTTCTAGTTATAATAATTAAAAGTTATTTTTCTCCGAGTTACGGCGAAAGTTTTTATAACAAATGACTTTTGTGAAATGTGAAATCTTTTTCTGGCTTAGGTGTTTATTGGACGAATTTCAATAGTTTTGTTTATGTGAAGCTTGCTATTTTTTCTATGGGCGCTAAAAGGCCGATTTTCGATTTAGCAATTAGAAAATTAGTTAGATTTGTTAGAAATAAACTAGAAAGAAGAAAAATATAAAATATGATTATAAAATTGTTTTTACAACAATAAATATCAGCCTTTTAACCCCACCATAGAGAAGATGTAACTATATAACAAAAAAAAAATAATAATTGTTGTAATCGGTTCGGTAGACACTTCAGAAATATATATATATATATAATCTTTAAATATACAAGTTATAATCCAGAGTAATATTTGTAATTACACATTAGGTACACTATATTAAAAAAAAACTAGAATTTTACTGCGGTCAAAGTGAAACATCTTCGTTTTTTGGTTTTCGGTATATGTTATAACTCCATACTAGACCTACCTAAGTCCAAAAACTTTGCTCGAAAAACAGAAATAAAGAATGTGCTTCAAGGGCAATGGATTTATGATTTTTTGTGTTTACTAATGTATTTTCACTTAATCTTTTTCATTCAAATAATCGGTTAATAATAATATTGATTAAGTTGCCTTGCCATATCGTGTTTTGTATATTATTTTTTTTGATATTATTGACAACAAAACCAGGAAACGTAATACAGAATACTGTATTTATTATAAATGTCTTTTTCCTGGTTTTACAATAAGTTACTACGATACAAATACTATTGCACACACACAACAAATATTGTCTTTGTCGACTTGTTTTTTAAAAAGTGTGTCGTTACAACGTTTTATTTGCAAAAGCGTTATGTGTAATCAACATTTTCAACGACAAACAGTACAAAGTAATCAAACTACACATTTATTGTAAATAAACTACACCGGATATTGGTGAAAAAAATGTACTCAAGCTATATAAGTTAGAATACTAGAAAACTAAAATTATTCCAATAGAAAGTGTCTTATCCTTAATGGATCACTCTAGTAAATGGTCAGAAAAATTATAATATTCTAATATTGTTGATTACCAAAAATTTTAAGTAGTGTTTTCATTTGAAAAAATATATAAGAAATTTTCATTATGAATTTTAAGAGTTTTTTGTTTCGAACAGTAATATTTTTCGCCATGCTGTCAGTAACTACAGGTACCTAGTACATAAAACAAATTGAGTATAAAAAGCAATATTAATAACGTTGTATTATAAATCAAAAAGTACTACGAAATTTTTAGAAAACAAAAATTAAGTATAAAAATAATTGTAAATATATTTATATTTTATATTATACTTATTTACTTTTTATGTTTCAGGAATTTACCATCCAGGTAAAAAATTCAAATGAATTTAATATAAAGATAATATAAATGGAATATACATTAGCAGCATTAAAATATTTTTGTTTTACTTTTTCAAATATTTAAGTAGACAAGTGTCAATCGAAATTACACGGGTACTGGTAATAAATAATTACGATTTTTATTTTTCGGATTACCAGTGGTTATACAATTTGGTTTATCTAGCAGTATTATTATTTTAGTATAATTTGTTGTAATACTATACATATATATAGTATCAGAGTGCGAGTAGTAGTAGTAGATGATAATCAAGTATTCAACACAAATAATGTTGTTACAATAATAGATATATTATACATAGAATATATACAACACAGTGAAACAATAATACACTAGTAATATGTATAAACTGAATAGAAATACTGAGCCCCGAGCCCTTAGATCAAATGCTATTTATATTAACCCACAAGGTTGCACGCGTCTACACATACACGTGTGCTTACAAAAACAACTTTGTTTTTCTATAACATTTCCTGATTAACAACTACGTATTTTTATTATACAGATAAACAACATATTTATATATTGTGAAATACTACTTGATATATAGAATATTAATTATTATTCCAACATAATTTGTGACTATAATTTAAATACAACTCTTTCTATTAAACGTAATGAACATAATTTACATTCATAATATAATACTCATGCATGTTTCATAAGTAAAATTGTGTTTTACATTTTTATTTTTCAGATGACGGTAAGTCGGATGATAATATATCAGTTTTAGTGTTTGACAATGATAAGTAAAGTAGCAGTCTTAAAATTATTTACAACTATAGTCAAGAATTCAATTAAATCAGTTGTAAAAATGTATATCATACAATAGCGTTCTAAAACTATTGGATTTGTTAGTTGTAAAACAGTAGGGAACATTTTATGTTTTAGACATACCAGAGGTACCCGTAGTTCCACAACCTCAACAGCCACGTCCCCGCCCACGTCCCCGCCCTCATCTCGAAGATGAACCCCCAGCCGGGCGCCAACGACGATAGGCAGTAAGTTGAACAATTATAATATCGTACATTTATTGTTGTAAAATCAATTTAAGAACTATAACTCGTGAGTATTAACAAAGTAAAACACATTGGATCAATGGTTAAAAATGATTGTATCAATAAAGGTGCTTGAAAAATACAAATAAAATAAAAAAACAATTATTTGAATTATTTTTATCGATTTTTCAGATTTTCAAGTACCCTGAAGAAATTACTAAAGGTGAAATTATAGTATATATAAAATAATTGTATGGCACAAAAGGTTAGTGCGTCCGAATACATTTTATGTGAAAACTTGACACTCTGGGACTCTTTCAGTCGTTATTTTTGCTTCGAGTACCCACTACACGTCTTAGAAGCACAATATCGCGATTACTTCGAGCATTGATCGACGCAAGTCAATAAAATATATTATTATGAGATATTTGATTATTTAATGTTCATTCGAGACTGATAAACGACAATCTTACGAGTCATTTATAATTTTAAAATGCAATAGTATTATTTCAAAATATAGAGTGCTGCATTCCGACGTTACAGAGTGGAAAAAAATGACTGAATTTAAATATTAGAGTACATCGACGAAATGTTTTACATTATTAAAAATGTCAACACACTGCACGTGGTAACTCATAAAGGAGCCTAACTTTTTTTGACTACAATATTTATGTGTAAACTAATTTGTTCACAGTCATTTAATATTTAATTGTTTTTTAGACAGTCCGCGCTAACGTCAAAACTGAAATATTCAACATCCATGCCACATTCAGAAAATCAAAATATTTACTATTTTTTAAAATGTACATCATGGTCTATTATTGTATTTTAACATTTAGATTTTTCTAATCAAACATTACATATAACGCATTTTGTTATTAAATATACTACTGTGACGTTAGATGTCTACCAATAACAATAATATTCAACGAATAAATATCTTAGTTTCAGAAATACCTACATTAAAGAGTTGTTTCTTTTTAATATTTTGTTTGGACACACTAATTTTTAAATCAAGACTTTCGGTTAATGATTTCTGTCAATACACATTAAAAAAATAACAGTCTAGAATTCTAAACTGTTACAGATAATTAATAACTCAAACAACATAATATTAATATTAAAATGAATTAAAAATGTGTTGTTATAATTGCGTGGTGTTGTGTTCAAATATTTTATTTAACACATTTTCATTTCATGTATTACCTATATGTGGAGACGCAGTACTTTGATTTTTTTATGTGTACAATACTTATACTTACTATTAATAATTATCGAATACTATCTCATGGTAGGATAAATAAATGGCAATTTTTTCTTGGGTTTTGTTAGTTATGAAATACTTTTTGGTTATTTGTGATTTTTTTGTTGGCAAAAATAATAATTTTAGTAAATCAAGAAAATATTTTGGAAATTATATGACAATAGTATAATGTTTTATATTATGTCGACCTAGAATCAAATAAATAATCCTACATTTTGGATAAAACAAATAGGAAACCATGTTCTTATTTTTTTTTGTACGGTCTTATTGACGAGGAAGTCTTGATGTTTAGTAAAGTTTTACCCAGGAGAATTATTATTGATACAGATGTGCCATTGAAATTTACCACGAGTAAAGGCATTGATTCGAAAACAGCATATTCATTCAAACTTTAAATCGATAATAATTAATTGAAAACTATGAAATGTAAACTGCCCAAAAATAAACACTTAACGGGTCCAAATTTTAGTTGACACTTGTACCCATGTATTTTCTGAAAATTATGGCCATTTTTTTTATGATAGAGCACATACGATTATAGGGTTTCAAACTCATTATATTGTAACAAGTGTTTGAGTAGAAAAAAATATAAATCAGTTCCTTCTCCGCGTTATATTAAAATAAATAAGGAAACGAAAAAAAAAACAATATATCATTGATAATATAAATGGTAAAATGAACTAGCGTCAACAAAGATTCAGTTATTTGAACAACTTGAACAAATATTTTCTTGTGTTTTTGTAAATAACATTGTGTTTAAATCACTATACAACTGGACGTTACCAAGACGGTCATTCATTCGACGATATCACATTTCACTTAAAGTTTCGTTTTTTTACGTTAACACCCAAGTATAACGGAATTGCAAAACGTCATTCAGATACATTTTATCCGCATTGTGTTAAATGTATTTTATTCAAAATGCAACAGCTAAAAGCGATTCTACAATGGTGATATAATAATGTCCTGGTTTAGGTCATATCTTAAAGACAGATATCAGTGGGTTAAGGTGTTTGGCATTAAATCAATTGTAATGTTTGTTTGGTTCATCCTGAAAAGTTGCAAAAAACGAGATACGACCCTTTTCGTTGAGGCAGTCGATATACTATTTATAATATGTATAAACCTAACCTTTATAGAATCTTTTTCAGCTGTTGCATTTTGAATAAAATATAATAAACACAATGCGGATAATATGCATCTGAATGACGTTTTGCAATTCCTTTAAACTTATTTTATATTATATATTTGATATTGGCAAAATAAACTTATTACTTATTATTATTATTAACTTAAAAAACGAAACTTTAGGTGAAATGTGATTTCAATGATTTTTCTGTCTCGGAAAATTTGTTAAAACGGTTAAACTAGCAGTATTTTTGTTAACACTAGTAAATTTTACCGTCTTTTTAATTTTGATTGCCATACTGTATATGTAAATGTAATATTATGCAATGTTCAATAAAATACGGTCTATGAAATGTTAATGTCTATTTCATACCTAAACTCAATAGTAAATTAATTATTTGAAAATAAATGATTCAATAATAAAAATGAATGAGGTATCTGTGTTAAACCTAAAATGTATTATTAAAAAACAGTGTTAAATAATTATAGTTTAACTATTAATAGTAAAGTACAGATTATATTATATTAAATTTGATTTGACACGGTACACATGTTATACAAAATATTACTATGTAACCCAAGTCTTGCCACACTATATTGTATACTAACATTATTCACAACAGGGTTATATTTTACATTTATAATATCATTTAACGAATAATCATTACAAATAATTATTTTCGTTACAAGATAAAACGTCGTGTATATTTGCATTAAATTTCTGAGCAATAAATTGAAGATGGAGACCATGAAAAACAGTTTTTATTTTAAAAGGAAAATTTTATGTGCGCCAAAATATGGTCTAGTTTTAGGTAATAAACAATTTTACAAATATTTTGTTTATACATATTGAATAATAACTTTTGCTTTTCAGGCACATTTTTAAGTCCAAAATACATGTACATTCTGATATCAACACGTGTCTTAGGCAAACAACGTGCGCGAGGCGCAAATCAAATAAATTTAGACAAAAATGTAATAACTTTTTGTGGTTCACTGTTCATACAGTTGCTGAGTACCCACAGTTGTTTGTCTCTAAATCGTAGTACTTATACTTACACGAGTACGTTTACTACATTAAAATTGTCGAGCCAATTTTCGTTAATTACTACATAGTCCAACATAGACCTCGTGTTTTGAAAAAAATGTTGATTCGGTAAGGTTAATTCTCACTAGGTATCTAATGCATTGACAAGTATAAAGTGTCTTGTCAGTTATAGCATTGTTTACTCGATGGTTACATTTATAGTTAACATACTTGTTTCAAGATTAGCACTATGTTTTCCCCAACAATCGTCAATGTAAATATACTGTTTTATGGCAATCAGTGACTGTATGAACAGTTAACCAGATGTAGATAGACATTAGAATTTCGCCCGTTACCGCATCATGTAAGGGGTAAATTTTAATTTGTATAGTAAGAATCTCGAATTAAAACCCAGCATTGTTGTATAAATGACCTTTCTGTTTATCGAACAATGCAGCGTTAAGACGGTTTGAATTGTAATGGTTCAAATAGAGGAGAGGTAAAGGGCTCATCGTAGAATAAATGGGGAAAGATTATGGAAGCTGAAGGAGCTATCCTACACTCCCCTAACCTCTTCAAAATTAAACCATTACGCTAAATATTATTGTGATGTGTGTAAAAATGTTATTGTGTACGTACCTCATTTTAGTGAAGCAACAATTTTGAAGCAGCAGCTTGTAGATTAAATTAATTTATTACTTAGATTTAATAATAAAATACACTTGCGTCTAATTTAAATCAGTCACCTATTTTAGGAACTGATATGATTTTCTAACGCGCGTACTTATAAATGATATATCTATGGCTCACTCAGCGTATGATAATTATTTGCTTAAATGAAGTTGCTGCTTTTGTTTGTACTTTTTATATCTTTTTACCTTGGTGATCCTCTACCATGCTACGTGATAACTAGTCAGAGGACTACACAGGTTCGTTCAGAAGTTCAGGCTAACCAGGCCGCGATATTAAGAAGCAACCGACCTTAAGGGTCGATATTTAACCTCACTCAACAGCCGCTACTCTGGTTGACTTCCCTTAGCTAAACACTAATTAATTAACTATTTAACTACTTAAATTTTCCAATTGCTGACGAGAATATTTTGATTCAATGGAATTGGATCCCTAGAGCTGCTTTACGCTTCTCAAGAGAATTAAATGAACCAGGCCAGTCTCTCGGACTATGTTAAGATAGTTAAATTAATAGATAAATTATCAAATAGAATAATAAATGAATACCATGTTTTGTTTGTGCATACGACTTTGAAAATACGCTGAATCAGGCCATAAACGATTAAGTGAAAATCATCTGACCACACTCGCCATGCCATATCAATTAAATAACTGGCTAAAAACTGGATCTACTGGCTCTACGGCAAACCTGTTGCTTGTCTTATATAGGGGTGAATGTGCGTCATCAGCGGGAAGAAGATATAAAAATGTCCCCTCGTATAAAATTATCCATGCGTAAAGTCTGAGTCAGCGTATCTTATGTGTCATTATTATTTAAGATATCCGTTTATACTTTTAATAGAAATATTATACTAAAAAAAATATATAAATAATTGATAATTGTGTGCAATATTAGTATTTGTGCATACAATTGATTATAGAATATATAACTTATATTATGTAAAATGACATTATTTAATTGTGTGAAAGTATGTGATTTAGTGCACACAATATAATCATTACAGAATTTAAATCGTTTTTAAATTTCTTGAAATGCTAACCATTTAAAAAATTAAAAAAACAATTATTGTTATTTAAAATGTATACAGAGTGCTCAATTGTATAGTCTTAAAAGCCACTTAGACGTAGAAGTGGTCTAGCTAACCGTTTTTATGATAGGAGATTTAGGCCTTAAAGGCCTGTTATGTTAATGACAATGAATGAATAAAACAAGAAACACTTCATTATCAATTATACACTTGTTTGCTCTTCAAATAATTGCAATTTTCTCATATATTTTGAAAGTAAACAGCTTAAAACTATTTATTCAATAATGGGTAATCGATATTGATCAATATTTCCAGCAAATTGTTCTTAAATTAAATTGATAATATAACTTATATGTACATACCATTTAAGTTTTAAAAAGTCAAATAAGATCTAATAATAATATAAGAAAACTGGTGTAAGAATACTGGTGTACTAAATACACTTTTTTTTTTCAAAAATACAAAAATATGAAATGCACAAACCAAAATTTTCATGATTTTCGACTTGTCGACGGTAAATCTAGGTTCATTATTTTATTTTTAAGGGGTAGTTTTTGGTTAGTTTGATAAATTTAAAGTTTTTTTATTTTACAATTTTGGAAATATTTGGTTAGGTTTCGGTTATTTTGTTAAATATCGTCTGCAACCATAAAACAGCGCATTACATTAAATTATTATTTCAACTCTTCGACGGCACTAACACGAGTTGTTTAAATAAATACTAAAAGGTGTAAAACTATTTTTGTTTCTCGAAACGTATTTTATATA